GTAACACAACGTCCACTCGTTTAGTATTTTACAAAATGTCATAAAAAATCAAAACCACGACAAAATCTATCCAGAAGATGATGACAAATTTATAGAAGTGGTGGTCTTATACGCAGGCTATCCACTGAAAAGCAAATACCACTGACGTCGTAATGTGTACGAGAGTGAAGCGTGCAATACGCAACTCATTGCCTAGCAACCTAAGTACGAGGCCACAGACGCCAACGGGGCACTCTGCCTTACATAGGACGAAAACACAGTGGAAGCCGGCTTCCTGCTTACCGGCCACCAATGCCGATCGGCACCTATAACCTTCTATAATAATATCATGCTCTTGGATTTTCTATAACTCAATAGATGCAAGCTCAGGCTTGTCGGCGAAGGCAGTCGGCGTTACCGGTTTTCCCGGAAAAGTTATTTAGTTCTTTCTCGCCGGTTGTCAGAGCAGGTTGATGTGGATAATGGATATAGACAAGTTAGTTAAGAATGTGGAGGCTACACCAATTTTTAGTTAGAAGGTGTTCAACTTTTTTCAGGATATAATTGAATGTTTCATGATTCATTCCGGTGTACTGAAAAAAAGCGGAGTTGTTCATCTTTCAACGCCTTGAACAAATGATGATATTCACCATAATATACCCTCTCACGATTATGGGGTGAATACCAACTTTCTTTCTGATGATTATTTTAGTGCAATAAATTCATCTTCAGATGAGCTAGACGTTTATTTGCTTTCTTATCGTCAGCACTGTCCATGACCAGCACCAAAATTCGGTACCGATCGGCGCTGGTGGCAGGAAATCCGCTTCCACTGTGTTTTCACCCTGACAGCCACCATTAGCCAAACAAGCTTTACATGAACGCCCACATTCCTAGAGTATTTTTGTCATTATTATTATTTACCTAGGATGAGAAATGTATCTTCTCCTTACAGGAATGCGTTAAATAATCGCGATTTCTCAGCTTAGTGAAAAGATAGGTTAGGTGCTTTGCATGGTTCCACCAAGTTTCGCGGTATGGTATCGTCTCGATCGACAGAAAATTATTTACTACCTCAGCACCTTATAAAGCATCCCACAAACCGGTGCGAAATAATCGCGGCGAAGTATTCGCAACGAAATTCAGAGCGAAATTCGCAATCTGTTTATTCATACCAACGCGAACGTGAAGGTTTCGACAGGTTGCGTACATTTTATTTTTGCCTTTTGCAATGAGCTCGTCTTCAGAAGAAGAGGAGGCACTTCTATTTCTTGCTTTAGAAGAGGAACAAAATGCACGGTAAGTTATGTTTATTTAACGCCATTTGATAGTTGGGTATGTATTAAGTTTAACGAGGTACATAAAACAAATATTTTCAATTTTGTTTAGGAAACGAAGGAAGTGGGTACATGATATTAACTTGGAACGAAATAAATTTGGGGAATACCATACCTTGATGCCACAACTTCGGCTGGATGAACAGCGCTTTTACGTATATTTTAGAACGACTCCAGAGTGTTTCGATGAAATATTGAACTTGGTGAAAGATGAAATACGAAAATCTGACACAAATTATCGTGAAGCTATTTCGCCAGAAGAACGACTTGCTATTACACTCAGGTAAAAAAATTATATGTATTAAAATTAGTAGGCTTATCGAATACGAAAACTTCAGGGATCGTGAAATAAATAGTTTATTTTAATAATTGGACTACATGTTGCCACTAGGATTAAATGTTGCTAAATAATTCGAGGCAGAATTTGCCTCCTCTGTTGGGTATATTATTGGAGTAAACCCAGTGCATACTTGCAGAATTCTGGGTAGACGCTGAAGACATTTCTTCAATATGTTCAAATTCTTCGTGCGCTATTAATTCGGCTATTTTTTGTTTTATTCGGGCTTGACGCTTTAAGGGAAGTGTTTTCACAGTCTGTGCATGTGCCAAGAAAAGTGAATCAATGGCCTCGTTCTCTTTTTTAGGTTTTTACCCAAAATAATTAATGAGCTGTTGTACAGACGAAGATGGTGGTTCATAGCGTTTTCTGCTCGTTTTATATTTTGGTGTATTTGCAGTCTGCGGAAAGGTGTGCCCTGGAGTAGTCGCTGCTGTAGTGTTCAATGAAGAAGGTGGTGCTGTCTGTCTTGCCGAGGCGTTCTGTGCATCTTCTGCATCTACATCAGCATTTTCATCTTCTCCATGGCCGCGGTCTTCCAAATTTTCGGTTTCTACATTTCCAGCCCTTTCCTGATATATATTTGAGTTAAATTCGGCAGTCTCATAATGTATGACGTCAATATCTTTCACATTAGACGACGTTTTGGCAAATGCCAAAAAAGGACGGAAAAATACCATGTAGTCAGCCCACTGCCATTTTTTTATGTTGCCCACTGCTTGGCCGGTCTTTGGTTTGGTAGATTTTATATATTTTGCAAATGTGTCTCTGATATTCTTCCACCTTTTTTTTACTTCATCACCTAAAAACGATTTTTTTTTATAGATTCCTTGCCACTGGTGACACGTTCTATACCATTGGGCATAGCTTTCGAGTTGGCTTTACAACAGTGAGTGCAATCGTAACCGAAGTCTGTGAAGCGATATGCAGACATATGGAGCATATATATTTACCAGAACCAACAGAGAATATATGGAAGAAATGTGCTGAAGAATTTGAAAATAGATGGGGATTTCCCAATTGCATTGGCAGCGTGGACGGCAAACATGTAACAATCAAGAGACCTAACAACAGTGGCTCCAATTACTGGTGCTATTTACATAAATATTCAATAGTACTTATGGCCATTGTTGGCCCGGACTATAAATTTATGTGTTGATATTGGTGGTTTCCGAAAAAATAGTGATAGGGGTATTTTCGAAACCTCGAACATGGGAAAACGATTTGAACAAAATTTAATGAGTGTCCCTGCACCTAGATTTCTCCCTGGGCAAAATGAAATCTGCTCGTACGTCTTAATTGGTGATGAAGCATTTACTTTAAAACCATACCTTATGAGACCATTTCCTTATAAGCAGACTTTAACAGACGTCAGAAAAGAGAAATACAATGTAAGACTTTGTCGAGCTAGAAGGGTCGTGGAAAATGCGTTTGGTATTTTGTCTCAAAAATGGCGAATATTTTACAGGCCATTAGAAACTAAAGTAGATACTACTATTCTAATTGTACGTACGGCATGTGTTTTACACAATTTTTTACGAAGTAAAAGTGGCGATGACAAATATTTTCAATTCTTAGATCCCCCAGAACCCGTGCTTGGAGCTTTTACTGATATAGCAAATGATCCTCGGCGGGCAGCAAGGCTAGCATTTTCTACTCGTGACAAATTCGTAAATTATTTTAATTTTGATATGCCTATGCCCAATATATAGAATGTTCGTTTTCACATTTGTGTAGACTGTAAATTATTTAACAAGTTAATAAAAAATATTAGGTACATACTATTTGTATTTAATTCTTTTCCTATTTCCATCCAAATCTTGTCTTTCTTTCTCACATTCCTGTATTCATCGTTCGACAAATCATACAAACAAGGATACTTTTTCACTATTTCTATCAATAATTCCGTTTTTGCCATTGCGAATTTTTGAAGAACGGCGTCAAAAACGCGGTCAAAGGCGAACTGAAATACGCCGCGATAAAAACGCTGGAACAATCGCATTCGCTTCGCACAAGTCTGAGCCTGTCCGTAAACCGCCGCGTTTTAATCTGATCGCGAATTCATCGCCGCGAAATTTTCGCAGCCAAAGCGAATATTTCGCGCCGGTTTGTGGGATGCTTTATTGTCAGCAAAACATGAAATCCTACGTTTCCCGGACTCAGAAGAAGGTATCCTCTATTAAACCACAGCCGGAGCATGAATATCATATATCTCAGGTCATGTCGGCAAATGAATCTAATATTAATTGCGTTCGCGGGTCAAAAAATTAACCAGTTCGAAACTAAAACTGAACCATCCAGAATTACACAAATGCGCATGTCCAGTTATTTTCTAGTTCGAGATTTTCATTTACCGCGAACGGCTTTGGAACCGTTTGCGTATTCAACACTGTTGCCAATTTGCCCTCTATTTTGTGCTGTTGCCAAGCTGCTATTCGACTGATACTATTGACAGCTTCCAGGTGCTTTCGGTACTTAAATAACTTCCAATAGTTCGTCCAAATCATCATCGCTAAACGATAAATGGTCCGACATCTTAAGCACAAAATCTTAAGCACTGAATCTTAAGAACTTGAGATGGAACACACAAAACATATGTGTGTAACAGCAAGCACTAAAAAGCACAGGTGACAGATTTTCACGGAATAGGTTAAACACTTTAAACCCGAACAGAGGTAGCAGAAGATGAAATGCTATTGCGCATGATCAGTCGGATCGAACTTTTAGTCTCACCAAAAATCTGAGAACTGTCAGGACCAGTTCGGAATCAGTTCTGTACCAATTCGATATGATTCGCGAACGCAGAATTGTAACTAAAAATTCAGAGTTTTGTTACCGCGAACGCCGATTTTTGAAGTGCGCATGCGAAGTGGTTCAGAATCAATCCCGAATCGGAACCGCGAACGAAACTATTGTAATCGGGTAATTTTGTGATATTTCTGATGAACGAGCTAGATAGAAATTGACAAAATCTGCATTTTATTACAACTTGTGCGTTGAGATAAGTAACATTTCTCCAACCTAACCGAAAAATGGTCGCTCGCAAAAATCTAACTAAACGTCAAGGCATTTAAACTTAAAAGAACTTAATCGTCCAATTACTTATGAATACTGGAAATTTATTAGAATTTCTTCGATCCATGTTTATGTATTATAGATGAGATAGAGGGCGTTCCTTCACAATCCACTATGTTGATTTTATATAATTACAGGGTTAGTAATACAATATTACAAATCGATATATTGGGACTTTTTATTATAACCATGAGCCTTAGATTGTTCCAAACTAGGCTAAGATAGTCTGTTCAGTTTCATTCATATATCGATTAGATACCTATTAAAAATATTTAGAAAGCTTTATGGTCGTGACTTACGAATTGCTCTTTGACACGTTCTATTTCAACATACCTGAAAAGAAAAGAAAATATTTAAATATATATTTTCCTAATTCAAAATATTTGTTATTGAGTTTTTAACTAACGTGAGTCATGAATGTAACAAATATCGAAAAAATTTATAGGCAGAAGAAATTTCGCAGAGTTAGGGGAGACCGGGGCTGGTTGTCACAATTGTTAAATCTCAGCAGCTCCGCAAGATGTACTTGCCTGGCGCGCTACACATCTTTTCTGCATCCGCGCAGGACACTTGTATTCAGTATAAAAGTTGTCGTTAGTAGATTAAGGTCGCACGCACAAAAATAAACAAATCGCCTAACCTGAGTAAATTTTTCGTTTGCCACATAATTTGTGTTTTCAAGACTACATTTAATAATAAAAAGAACTGTTGAATTTATTTTGCTCTTCAATAATCCGAATACGACTCAACGTAAGTATTGACTTTGAATTTGTTAATTTAGTGACGCTATCTAACCTTAAAAATTAATTATCTAGTGGGGCAGGTTATCTCAGCTCCCACACTAGACGATTAGCTTTGCACATCATTCTACGTATATATATTATATATATTATATATATATATTATATATAATATATATATATTCTAGGTATATATATATATATATATATATATATATATATTCTAGGTATATGTATACAATGTATTTTTTTAATATCTTCAGGTTTCATAAGCATGGTTCGAAATTTTAAAAGGAAGACTGAGAAGGGCAAAGCGCCGCCTGACGTACTTTTAAGAGCTGCTAGGTTAGGGAGATTAGGATCCTCAATAAGAAAAGCGGCAGCTGACTTTAATGTAAATTACCCTACTTTAGCAAGATACTGTAAGAAAATTCCAGAGTCTGAATTACTTGATGATCGAGTTGTTGCGCCGTTAATTGCAGTTGGCTACATCAAAAATCATTTAGTATTTGAGACTGAACTTTAAAATCATCTAGTGGAATATGTACTCAAAAAATCTGATATTTATTTTGGATTATCACCCAAGGAAGTACGTGGACTGGCATATGAATTTGCTAATGCTAATTCCTTGAAATTGCCGGAAAATTGGAAGCTCCATAAAATAGCTGGTCCTGACTGGTTTAGTGCGTTTCTATTAGTAAACCGGAAGCAACTAGTTTAGCAAGAGCCAGTAAAACGGACGTCAACGCATTTTTTGATAATTTAGCTTCAGATATGGAAAAACATAAATTTGAGTCTCACAAAATCTGGAACATGACGAACCTGGAATTACAACTGTCCAAAGACCCGACCGCGTTGCTGCCAGAAGAGGATTCAATGAGGTTGGTTCGATAGTTTCATCAGAAAGAGGAACTCTTGTTACTTTAGCAAGTGCAGTATCAGCTATTAGAAATTCCATACCTTCTTTTTTCATTTTTCCACGGGTACATTTCAAACCACATTTTTTAAATTCATCTCCTCATGGCTCACAAGGTTCAGCAAACCCATCAGGTTGGATGAGAGTCACATTTCTTTGAGTTTCTTAGATTTTTTCACCTTTATTTGAAAAGTACTGTGGAAAGACCGTGCCTGCTTTTACTAGATAACTATGGATCACATCTGAGTATAGAAGGACTGAATTTTACCAAAGGAAATGGTATTGTCATGCTCTCTTTTTACCCCCACTGTTCACATAAACTTCAACCTCTTGACCGCACTGTTTTCGGCCCTTTTAAGAAATCTGTAAGTACTTCCTGCTAGGCTTGGGTTTTAAATAATCCCGGTAAGACCATGACTACGACGTACCTTCAGTGCTCTCTATTGCATACACCCTCACATTAGAGATATTTTCACGGATGATGACTTTCTTGCGATCTCTGAGACTGTTAGGCTAGATCCGGGTATCTTGAACGAAGCAATAACTGGACCAAACCCGGAAACCTTAAACGAAAAGGAAGTTGGGCCAAATCCAACCATCTTGAACGAAAATGAAACTGATAGATAATATACAAGAGGGCAAAACACCTAATCAAACTAGTTTTGATGATCCCTGCCGTAGTAGTGTAGTAAGGTTGCATGCTGGAAATATAGTATTTCCAGAAAGTTTAAGACCTTATCCAAAGGCATCGGCAAGAAAAATGAATCGAGTTTCCCGTCGTAAACGAGAGACTGCAATACTCACTGATACTCCAGTAAGAGACGAATTAGAGAAAGAGAAAAATAAATGCTCGAACATAGAAAAAGAGGAACAGGGAAACAGTGAACAGAGACGTTTTGATTCAGAAAAAGTCCTGTTCAGATAATGAAACTGATGAAGAAGAATGTTTTAGCTTGATTTGTCTTGAGCCATTTTCTAACAGCGCATCAAATGAAGAATGGGTGAAATGCTCATCGTGTAATGGTTGGTCTCATGATGCGTGCACTGATGGACGCGAACTTTACATATGTCATAACTGCGATAGTGACTAATTGTAAAATAAACTCTTCTACTTTTTTCTCATAAACATTTGGTATCTAAATACCAAATCTTTATGTCTTACGTCTTAGTTGTAATAATAACTATGTTTAAAAGTATATCATAAATTATTAATGATCTAAAATACTCGTGACAACCAACCCCAAGCAATGTGACATCCAGCCCCAGCAAGGGGCAAGTTGTCACATTTGTTTCTGTATTTTGAAACATTTTAATTTAATATTGTGAATTATTTTACAGCTTTATCGATTTTACATATTGTTCCCAAATGATAAACCATTTTAGTTATACACCAAATATGTGCATATAACGCTTCAGATCGAATAAAAAAAAGAATTTCGGAAACTTGTGACAACTAGCCCCGGTCTCCCCTACAAAAATCAGTTGTCCAGCACCCTATTAATTTTATACTAAATATTCATATAAATAAAGGGTGATAACCTAAATCTAAACGTAATAATTTTTAATTAGTTTCAAATCTGAAACATATGAGTCTAGTAAATTAAGAAATCCTACATCAATGTATGTTACAACATAAATAAATTATTTATGTCCTTTATGTTCTCTCACATGTATTTGGGGTCAAATAAAGGCCCAGAACACTAGGAAAGAAAAATGTGCCTAAGGACACTGCACCACAGCCACTGGTTGGCATTTCTAAATCGAAGGCATTTCACAGAAAACCAAAATCTTAAGTTTAGCAGTATTTTTGGGTAACAGTCACTAACATGATACAATGAACTCATGCATGTAGGTGAAAGTAGTATATGAGTAGTGAATCATGTGGAACGGTTGCTCAGAATATTTCTCAATTATTTTCAGGAGACACTTATAGTAGCAACAAACAGCAAATCTTGCACACTAAAAAGCGTTTTTAAGAACCTCTTCGCGTTGTAGGTATTGTATTTTACTGCGAGTCAAGGCTTTCCAAAATTGTATATATTATTCATTGCAGTTGAAGCAGGTCGAGTTTAGCGATAGTAACTATTTTTATTTATTGGATTTTTCCTATAGCAATCTCCAAGGTGACGCGTAAGTACTAGGCTCCTTCATTGCTCATTTATTCTTTAGAGGCACGCAGAAAGATTACGAGGACTGTACTCTAAAATAGGTAAAGAAGATTACCTATTTTTCCGATCCTTGGCTCAAGAACAGGAACTGTTTGAGTACCATTTAAAAAAGTTTATATACCTTTTTATTACGGGAATAATAATAACAATAATAAAGTTTACTGCCACAAAGTATCGGTGAAATGCCTCAGTATTGTGCACAACAAATAACCAAAAATAATTTGTACCTGTGCTTGGCTTTGTTAAAACTAAGGGTGCTGACGTGATCTGGAATGGACACTATAGTGTGATTTGGTGAGTTGAATGAAAAATATCCAGATAGCTCCAACTGATATCTAAAATGTAAGAAAAGAACTAATGATTTTAATATTGTTTCTTCATAAAATATACTAAGTGACATATAAATCCGAACACCCAGTTTAAATGGTTTTATTTTAATAAAAGTTGGTGAATGTATTTATCTTACTGTAAATAACAAGTGAAAAAATTTTCAGCCTTATCGGTTGGACATTCCGGATTTTATACTGCTTTTTTTTAATTCACTAACGCTCTAAAAATGAATATTTCAGCCGCAGTAAAGAATCAACGTTGGCGGATTTTGGTTCTTGACATCCTTTGCGATCGGTTACGATGCCTAGAGTACGGAGACCTGTACGATTTCGTCAACTTAGTGAGTTTGATAGGGGCCGTATAGTGGGACTTTGGGAAGCTGGACTTTCTTTTCGGACAATTGCAGTTAGAGTGCAAAGAAGTGTAGACACTGTGGTTAGGTGTTGTCAGGTATGGCTTCGAGAAGGCCGTACGCAAAGAGCAAGGGGCACTGGACGCCGCCGTAGAAAAACAGACCGTGAAGATCGCCGCCTAAGATTATTGGCCTTAAGGGACGGTTTCTCCACTACCAGGTCCATTGCAAATGAATGGTTTGCAGAACACGGAAGACCTATTGGCATGCGAAGAGTTTACCGAAGAATGAGAAGTTTTGGCTTGTTTTCATACCGGCCACACTGGGTCCTCCCTTTAACTCGAGAACACTGAAGTAATCGCCTTGAGTGGTGCAGTCAACGGTCACGCTGGGATCAGGAATGGAACAGTATTGTCTTTAGTGACGAGTCTCGATTTTGTTTAGGCATGCACGATGGTCGTGCCAGGCTTAGAAGGCGACGTGGTGAAAGGAGGAATCCACAGTTTTTTGTTGAAAGACATGTTTATCACACTGTTGGAGTTATGGTTTGGGGTGCTATAGCTTATGGTTCCAGGTCACCTTTAATCTTCATCAGAGGTAACATGAACGCGCAGCGTTATATCCACGAAGTTCTAGAACCCCATCTTTTACCCTATCTTGACACCCTGGCAGATCCAACTTTCCAACAAGATAATGCCCGACCACATGTTGCAAGAGTCACAATAGACTTCTTTCAACATAATGATGTCACATCGTTACCATGGCCACCAAGATCTCCCGACTTATCCCCAATTGAGCACGTGTGAGATATGATGGGTAGGAGATTG